GCTGGTACCCAGTTTTGCCTGCTTTATCTGCGTGCAAATGTGGGACCACCTGGTCTGCTAGCCACCTTGTGTGCTGCATCCCTCCACAATCCACTGCCTCGCTGGGTCCATCCACTGCTGCCTGTGCACCCAGACATTGCTTTGCTGCAAAGTCCTCTCCACCCGGCCGCCTTACTCTGCCTCTCCTACCAGTCTGGATGAATGTTTCTTCTTTAACTCCTTGGTTGTCAGACTTCCATACAGTTCAATTTTCTGTCAGTGCTGGTTGTTTTTTTTTGTTTCTGAATTTTTGTTGTCCTTATTTTGGTTGTGCGAGGAGGCACAGTGTGTCTACCTATGCCTCCATCTTGGCCAGAAGTCTCCCTTATTGGAGATTCTTAATGCATACAAGCATATTAAAGATGGGAAGAAGTTCTGCCTGGTGCCCCACCACCTCCCTCAGCCAGTATTTCTTTGAATAGCCCTCTTCTCCTTTCTCTCTTCTTCTTCTGCGACCCCTATAATGCGTACATCTGTCCCCTTAATGATGGTGTCACATGCCCACTCTTTTGCATTCTATTCTTTTCTTGTTTCTCTGATTGGATGTTTCACTACTCTGTCTACAAGTTAGCTGATCCTTTCTTCTGTTTGATCTAGTTTGTTGTTGAACCCCTATGAAATTTTCAGTGCAATTATTGTATTCTTCAGCTTTGTGCTTATGATTGGTACTTTTTAATATTTTGTTTCTTTGTTGAAATTCTTTCTCCATGCTTTGCTCTCCTATCCTCAATAAGCATCTTCATGACCATTATTTTGAACTCTAATGCATCAGTCACTTTCCTCCATTTCATTAAGATTGGTTTCTGAGACTTATCTTGGATTTTTGTTTGGAACATATTCCTCATTTCTTTGTTTTTTTCTTGACTCTCACTGTTGGTTTCTGTGCATTAGCTATAACAGCAACCTCCTAGTCTTGACAAAAAGTCGTCATGTATAGGACATCAGAGAACTTGACACAGGCTCCTGGTTGTCTGTCAAAAGTTTGTGATCACCCAAACTGCTACCTTTGTTCTTAGTAACTCCCAATAGTTGAATATATGCCCAGATCTGACAGTGTCTCAAAAGGGAGGTTCTCATTCAGTAATTGGAGGCAAGCTTATTTGAAGCTTTGCCCTCAGGCACTAGCCGGGAATGTATATAGGTAAGCCCCTTCCAGGAGGAAACCAGGAGATCCATGTTTTAGGCTTCTTCCTCTGCACTGAGCCCAGGTGTATAGCCACTGTTGGGGGTGATGGAATGGGAGGGGAACTGTTGATCCTGAACTCATTTTTTAAATTATATTTTATTGATTGTGCTAATACAATTATCCCAAGTTTTCCCCCTTTGAACCCTCTACCAAAAACGCCCTACTCCCTCAGGCAATCCCCCCACTATTGTTCATGTTCATGGGTCGTGGATACTCTATTTCCTAGACTGTACTTTACATCCCCATGGCTATTCTGTGATTACCTATTTGTACTTCCTAATCCCCTCACCTCATCACCCATTCCTCCACACCCCTCTGATCTGGTAACCATCAAAACACTCTCTATATCCAGGATTCTGTCTCTGTTCTTGTTTGTTTAGTTTGGTTTTTAGATTCAATTTTGATAGATACACATTTTTTGCCATTTTATTGTTCATAGTTTTGAACTCTTTTTTTCTTAAATAAGTCCCTTTAACATTTCATATAATAAGGGCTTGGTGATGACGAACTCCCTTAATTTTTTCTTGTCTGGGAAGCTCTTTATCTGCCCTTCCATTCTAAATGATAGCTTTTCTGGATAGAGTAATCTTGGCTGTAGGTCCCTGCTCATCATGACTTTGAATATTTCTTGTCAATCCCTTCCAGCCTGCAGATTTTCTGAGAAATGAGCTGACAGTCTTCTGGGAACTCCCTTGTGGGTAACTAACTGCTTTTATCTTGCTGTTTTTAAGATTCTTTATCTTTAACCTTTGGCCTTTTAAATATGATGTGTCTTGGAGTGGCCCTCTTTGCATTCATCATAATTGGGACTCTGTGCTTCCTGGACTTGCATGTCTATTTCCTTCACCAAATTAGGGAAGTTTTCTTTCACTATTTTTTCAAATAGATTCCCAATTTCTTGCTCTTTCTTTTTTCCTTCTGGCATCCCTATGATGTGAATGTTGGACCTCTTGAAGTTGTCCCAGAGGCTGTTTACACTATTCTTTTTTTTGGATTCCTTTTTCTTCTTGTTGTTCTGATTGATTACTTTTTGCTTCCTTTGTTCCAAATCATTGGTTTGGTTCTTGGCTTCACCCACTTGACGGTTGTTTCCCTGTAAATTGTTCTTTACTTCATTTAATGTACCCTTCATTTCTGACTGGATCTATTTTGTGCTGTTAAGGTCCTCACTAAGTTCCTTGAGCATCCTTATAACCAGTGTTTTGAACTCTGCTTCTGATAGATTGGTTATCTTTGTTTCATTTAGCTCTTTTTCTGGAATTTTGATCTGTTCCTCCATTTGGGCCATGTTTCTTTGTCTCCTCGTTTTGGCAGCCTCCCTGCATTTGTTTCTATGTATTAGGTAGAGCTGCTTTGACTCTGTGTCTTGTTAGTGTTGCCTAATGTACTGTGTGTCCTGTAGGGTCCAGTGGCAGAGCATCCCCTATCACCCAAGATGGGTACTCAAGGTGCACCCTTTTTGTGGTCTGAGTACACCTTCTTCTTGTAGTTGAGACTCAGTTGCTGTTGGCAGATCAATGAGAGGGATTTACCTAGGCCAGTCAGCTGCAAGGATTGGCTGTGACCACTGACCACCAACCTCTACCCTCCATGGAGGATCTGTTATGCAGGGGCAAGGTGGTGGTGCTCTAACATAGTCTGTAGCTGATCCACTGGGTGCACTGGCCCTGGCGTTTCATAGGTAGTCGAGGCCAAGTTCAGCCCCCACCTGTATTTTGCCCGGGACCACCCTGCCTGAGCTACAAAGCAATCTGAGGTGGCTGCTACCTGTGCTGGGCTTAGAGATTTCTAGGTTAAGCCAAGCCGTGAATCTAGGCTGGCTGCTCCTAGTGCTGGGCCTGGAGCTCACTGAGGCCAGCTGTTGCTTGTTTGATAGAATTTAGGAAGTTATGAAATGGGAGCCAAGGCCAATCATTCATTTGGAAAAGCAGCTTGGATGTACCCATAAATTGGGTGGGATGGAGTCTCCGGGGGTGTCCAAGGCAAGTCAAACAGTGTTAGATTGATGGAGTCTCAGATATGGCACAAGTTGCTGATTCTGTGGGAGAGGGTTTAGAAAAGGGATAATGGCCTCTGTTCACCTTGATGCCAAATATTTCACTTCTTCTCCATATACCACTGGCAGTTTTTAAGCTCCTGCCCCAATGCTGAAGCTCAGAGTGAGTCTGAATAGGTGAGTCGATATGTGGGATCTTTAAGAGGAACTGCTTGGGGCTCTAGAAGTTTCTTCCATTGACTCAGTCCCTACTGGTTTTTGCATCCAGAAGTTGTGGGACTTATCTTCCTGGAACTGGAACCCTGGGCTGGGGACCTGGTGTGAGGCTGGGGTTCCTTACTCCCAAGATATCCCTCTTGAATTTTTATCTACCACACGTGGGTATGGGACCAGCCTGTTCCAGGTCTGTGCCCCTCCTGTCAGACTAGATGGATGTGGTTTCTTTAATTCAGTAGCTGTCAGACTTCCATTCAACTCGAATTCGTGGTTGTAAGACTCCCATTCGGCTTGGTTTCTGTCACTCCTGAGTGATGGTTATTCTATATTTTAGTTGTAATTTTGATGTGGTTGTGTGAAGAGGTGAGCCATGTATGCCTATGCCTCCATCTTGATCAGAAGTCCTAATGTCCTTCCACTTATTTAAAAATTGCTTTGTTTGCTATAGTCCTGTGGGAATATGAATGTTAAGTTCTTTTGGTTATCAGCCAGCAATCCAGGGACCCATCCCTCGGGTATCATTCACAAAAATTGGCATGCCAGATGTGTACACAGACTTCTTCCAGAAATGCTGGCAATCCGGTTTTATTATTTAAGCTAGCAGAAGGAAGAAGGTCAGGTAAGGGCAAACAAGCTCCCCCAACCTTCTGGAGGTTTGCTGCTGGCCCTTAGATGCATGCTAAATTAGAAGCCAGACCCTGAGGCAGACCCTTGTAAAGTATGCAGTCAAACCCCTTTTAGGAAAAGTCTAGGAGGTGGGCATTTTCACCTGTTCTCCCTTAGGGCTGTACCTTAGGGGCATAGCCAGTGAGATCTCACCCATCCACTAAGAACTGTTTCTTTGCATAGTTGCATGTCTCATGGACATGAGCCCCATTGCTTTTCAGACCTAGGTGTTTTAGGGACCATCCCTTTGGTTGTTTTAAAACTTGGGGTTCTACTTGTATATAATATCCATATGTGTGCATCTATATGATATATTACACAGCCATTAAAAGGGAGGGTGACTGCCCTGGGATATTTTTTTAAGATGAATTAAGCTCTGGTGATAATCAGAGCTCTTGTTCTGTTTTAAAAAAACATTTATAAAAAGACACACAGGAAATTGCTAATAGTAAAGAGGAAATCCAGTTGGCTAGAGGACAAGAATGGGAAAGGAAACTTTGTTGTATACCATTTTCATCAAATATTTTGACATAGATGATGTACAACTCAAATAAACTTATTTTTAAGAGATTTTTTTTAAATGGTGTTATAGATGTACAGCCCAAAGCCTTTGCTCCTCCAGGAGAAGCTGTGAGTTGGGAGTTGTCTCCCTATTGTATGGGTCTGTGCCAGGGATGAGTTCACAGCAAGAATGTGTCTCAGCCTTTTCTACCCATTTTAATGTGGGTATTTTCTCATTTTCCCAATATAGAAAAGTCACTCAGCTAGTTTCGGGATTTCTTCCAGAGGAAATTGCTCTATTCAGTGCATCCAAAGGAGAAGGGAAGTTCAAGAGCCTCCCAGGTTGCCATTTTGGTCCTTCCTCAGCATTTTTGCTTTTTTTTTTTTTTTTCTCAGAGAGAACTAGAGAAACACAGAAGAATTAAGAGAAACCAGCAGCTGGAAGCAGTAGCCAAAGATCATTATGAAAGTGTGTTGCTAAGGAAAAAAGGTCTGGAGCCTTGGAAGAGATTGAGAATTCAAAGCAAGCAAAACATGCAGGTATAATGTCATTCTCCTAACCTCCAAAATCTGAAAATGGATTTTGAAATAGGATAAACACCTAATTAGGTTTTAGGTGTTATTTGGTGATTTAAAAGCCAGACAGATAAATGAATTGAGTGTTTATATTTACTTGTTTGGGGTAAGCGTTTAGATTTGGTCTTCCAAGGAAGAAAAAGATTGCTGTGATTGAATAGATTTAAAGAAACTAGAGTAAATATTTTATTATAGATCTTCAAGGTAAGATAGATAGAAGCCTCTCTCATTATTAGCAGTGTTTAAATATAATTACCATAAGGTCTGTTAGTCACGTTTCTGCTGCAGTAAAGCTACATAACAGCCCCCAAATATCAGTGGCATATAACTCAGGCATTTATTTCTCTCTCACATGTCTGAAACAGTTGTAGATTGGGTTCATGTCTCTTCGTAGCTTCTCTTTGTGGCTCCAGAAGTTATTCTGAGCATGCTTTTCACCTGTCTGAGGTGCAGAGGTACATTTGGCAAATGTCTGAGGTACAAAGGCCAAAACCCTATTATGTAAGCCCCTATGAAGCCTCAGCTTGTTCCATGTTTACCAACATCCAGTTGGCCAAAGTGAGTCATAGAGCTAAACAAATAGTCATTGAGGAGTGAAAGAGGCTTATCTACTCCATTGGGGGGCAGTATGAAATCATATGCAAGGAAACATCGATGTAAGAGAGAAACGTCAATCAGTTGCCTCCTGTCCACACCCTGACCAGGGATCTAAGCCACAGCCTGGATATGTATCCTGACCTGGGATCGAACCCAAAAACTTTTGATATATAGGATGACACTTCACCAACTGAGCCTCCTGACCAGGCTGGTTCTTGTTTTTGATTGAGCAAAATCAAGAAAGTTATGTAATTTAGAAACAAAATAGAATCTTGAGTGAATAACCAAATTAAACTTAAAAAAATTCATTCAGAAGAATGTAAAAATAGAAACAGAAGTTTGAGCTCAAAATAACAATTATAGGCTTTCTATATAGAAAACCAATTAAAATAAAAATGGAAATCATAGGTCTGAAACCAGGATTTTCAAAATTTATTGTTCATAAAACCATCTGGAGAACTTATAAAAATGCACAGTCCTGGTCCCACCTCCTGGGGCAGGGGATAGAGAAGGGGGGCAGGCATCAGGGAGTCTTCATTTTTTAAAAAGTAGCCCAGGGGATGTTCATATAAGTGGTCTGAGCACCGTATTTTGAGAATCACCTTTCTAGGTCATACAAGTGTATTTGTTTCCTATTGCAGTTATAACAAATTACTACAACCTTATTTGTTTAAAACAACACAATTTGTTACCTTAAAATTCTGGAGGTCAAAAGTCCAAAATCAGACTTGCCAGGCTAAGGTCAGACTGTGAGCAGAACGAGTTCCTTCTGGAGGTTCCGGGGGAGGCTCTGTTTCCTTGCCTTTTTAAGCTTCTAACAGTTGCCTGCATTCCATTGCCCATCACCTCTTCCTCAAGTCAATCTAATCACTTCCTGGTCTTCCTGTCTTTCCCTCTGAGGACCCTTTTGATTATATTTAGCACTCTGCCATATAATCCAAGCTAATCTCTCCATTTTAAAAATCCTTCACTTAGGTCCAACTTCTTTGGGACTCTCTGAGCTTCCTGGACTTCCTGGAAGTCTATTTCCTTTGCCACATTGGGAAAGTTCTCCTTCATTGTGTTTTCAAAGAAGTTTCCAATTTCTTACTCTTCCTTTTCTCTTTCTGGCACCCATAATATTTGGATGTTGGAATGTTTAAAGTTGTCCCAGAGATTCCTAAGCCTCTCCTCATTTATTTTGAATTCTTATTTCTTCATTCTGTTTTGGTTGAACATTTATTTCTTCCTTCTGCTCCAAATCGTTGATTTGAGACTTAGTTTCCTTCCCTTCCTGTTGGTTCCTTGTACATTTCTCTTCATTTCACTTTGTACGGCCTTTACCTTTTCCTCTAGAAGCAGCAAGAGAAAAGGAAACAGTTGCCCATAAAGGAGTTCCCATGAGACTATCAGCTGATTTCTCAAAAGAAACCTTCCAGGCAAGAAGGGACTGGAAAGAAGTATTTGAAGTCATGAAAAGCAAGGACCTACATCCAAGATTACTCTATCCAGCAAAGCTATCATTTAGAATGGAAGGGCAGATCAAGTGCTTCCCAGATAAGGTCAAGTTAAAGGAGTTCATCATCACCAAGCCTTTATTATATGAAATGTTAAAGGGACTTATCTAAGAAATAGAAGAAGATAAAAAATATGGACAGCAAAATGAAAACAAACTCATAACTATTAACAACCGAACCTAAAACAAAACCAAAAATGAACTAAGCAAACAAGTAGAACAGAAACAGAATCACAGAAATGGAGATCACATGGAAGGTTATCAGCAGTGGGGCAGGGTGGAAGAATGGAGAAAGGTACAGGGAATAAGAAGCATAATTGGTAAGCACAAAATTGACAGGGTCAGGTTAAGAATAGTACAGGAAATGGAGAAGCCAAAGAACTTACAGGGATGACCCATGTGTGAGTGAGGAGGTGTGCAGGGCATAGGGGAATAAAGGGAGGAATATGGGAGAACTGTAATAGCATAATCAATAAAATTTTTTTTAAATAAAATGCTTCACTTAGTCACATGTGCAAAATCCCTTTTACCATGTAAGGTCACCTATTTACAGGCTCTAGAGATCAAGACAAAGCCATCCCCAAGGGACCACTATTCAGCCTACCACAACAAGATAATAAAATTTAGAACATTACTAATCCTCTCCATCTCTTGCAATTTGTAGATAGGGAGCGGGCTTGCTGAAAGTCACAGAGTGCATTGGTTACAAAGCTAGAGTGGAGGTCCATCTCCCTGCAAGAGTCCTGCCCTGTTCTGGCACACCTTGTGCTATGGTGGGAATCAGAGCTGGATGTAGGTGCCAAGCACCAGTTGAAAGGAAAAAAAATAGAAAAGTAAAACGAAGAGTTCTGGAGAACAGTAAGAGGAAGGACTAACTTCTCACCCATCAGAACTGGCTTTCAGGAAGGGATAGAAAAAAATTAAGGAGAAAGGTCCAGTTGAACAGTTCCCGGGTTGTTTCTGACATGTTCTTCAGAAGGGTTATTTAGCAGTTTCCCTTAAACTCATATGTGCTTGTTAAACAAACAAACAAAGTTAACTTCTGTGACTGAACTCTTTTCTAAGTGGTTTCATTGGTCCAAGTGCTAGCCCCAAAAAGACGGGGCTTGGCGTGTAGAGCCTAAGTCACCAGCATGACCAGATGGAAAGCACAGCATATCCATGGTCCCAGAGTTTCGCCAGCGTTTTTTGTAGGTCCGGTAGTGGGGAGAGGGGAAGAAAGGGGTAGTCTGAAAGAAATTTCATGCTGCATGTAGGCAAAGGGGTCGGAGACGGTAAAGCAGGACCAGCATACAGAAGTGCTCACTCCTGTAGAGTGGCTGTGGGCAATAGTAGGAAAGCACATGTGCAGACAAGCTGAGGCTGCCAGAGTCAGGTGGGGCCCGGATAATACAATCTGTGGCAATAGCCACCGAGAAATGAAGCTAAAGTTCTGACAGGCAACAGAAGGAATGTGAGCGGTCATTAACAGACTGCAGTTCCATCTTTCTCTCACTTTCTGGCCACTGTAATGTAATTCAGAACATCTCTGTATTTTCTCCTCCTCATGCTGTGTTCCATTTAATCCAACAACCACTTTCAGAACTTTTAAGGAACCTTCTGAGCATCTTTTTTCCCCTTTCTGGTTGTTTTCCCAGAGGATGAGGAGAAGGGCAGGGAGGGGGCTGTGTGTTTCTGGCTGCCCTTGCCTTTCGGTTCCCAGACTGCGAGGGGTCAGGACCTGCAGCCTCCTCAGGTGCCACAGAGACCTCCTGGGATGGTCGTTCTGACCAAAGAGTCTGACTGCCCAGGGAGTCGCTCCGGTCAGTCACGTTCACAGTGCTGGGTGGCCAGGCAAGGCCTAGAGGAATGTGCGATTGGAAAGCACCAAGGGGGAAGGGTTTCTTCCTCCTACCTCTTGAAAGAATGTCACTTTTTAAAATCTATAAACTCTGAGTTGTATTATTACTTTGATAGAATGATGCTCTGAGCCTTTTAAATTGGTAAGATATTAAATTATTCATCATGTTATTTTTCTATCAAATGGTTTTGTGGTTTATTGATAATGTCTAAATTTCAGCACTGGTGACAGCTCATTCTACAGAACTAATTGAAAGTATTCATGTTTCCTCAATTAGACAGTGGTTAAGTAAGTACATAAAGAAGAGAGGTTTGTTATGGAGCTGCTGTCTAAGCTCCAACTGAACAGAGAACGTTGCCAGCCACCCACTTCAAAACTCAGTGCAAGTGAAATACTGGCTTTGTAGGTTGTTTATTCCAGTTTCCTAATAACCAGCCAGTTGCTGTGGTCTTCAGGGAGTCGGCACTGAAAGGCTGCACGTGAGATGAATCTCAACCCCCTTATAATAGGGTCAATAGTCAAAGCTGCAGGGACATAGATTATTTTCTCTAGTAACTGCCTGGATGTAGTTTGCAGCATCATTTGCCAAGGGAGTGTGTTTCCTTAAGTGATTTAAGATAAAAGGAATAATTTCCTTTTCTTATTTTAAAAATTGTCCAGGTGGCCAAAGAACATCACTCCTTGGCCCTGCAGAGGAAATGCCTGCTCACCTGGTTGCAGTGCAGTCGGGAAAGCCTGGCGAGGAAGAGGGCCCGGGCCGCCCAGTTTCATTCACAAACATTGCTTAGGAGAGTCATCCGGAGCTGGCTGCAGGTAAGGCCACAGGGACGGGCGTTCGAAATACATGTCTCTCCTCGATGCTGTGTAAAGAAATCAGATGCAACCCAGAATGTGCAGTCATTATGGTTTTTCAAGAACAATGTAAAATAGTCAATCCAAACCACTGCCTTGAAATGAATGTGAAATTTTGAGTTTTTTGTTACTATAGAATCTTAAGCATGTTTCTTTTTATATAATGTTTATCTCTATAAATTATAATGTGACATTAAATCAGCTTTTTATTTTATACTCATCTCTTATCCCATAATTGCTCAGGTGATTTTACTAGAAACCCACCTCCTCAACCTTGTAACTGTGTCTGCCCCTCTGGCTCCATTACTACTTCCTTAATGTGTGACAGAGGGTATTCTTTTTGGCTGTCACGTTCTCTCTTTATGCTTCCAGTGTCCTTTGTTTTGTGTTCGTTCAATCCTTTCTCTTTTGTACTGTTTATTTGCCCTCTTTGTGACACTATTTGTCTCACCTCTGTTCCTTTCCTCATCCCCAGTACCTGACTGAGCTAGAAGAAGAAATACAAAAACTGTGCATACATTTTCTTCAAAAGAAGATTTTCAGAGCCTGGTTTAACATGGTCAGGGAGGCCAAGATCGATTCACAGAGCAAGCACAAGATTGCAGCAGAGCATAGTGACAGGTGAGGTTTTGATCTCTGAGGAAATTCACTCACTGACTCCACAATCATGCTGCAACACATTCTATGCCTGGAACATGTCTGAAAAGATGAGGTGGAGGCTGGGAGGGCTGGGCATTCAGAGGCACCAGGCAGAGGCAGGAGCTCTAGCTCAGCTCCTGACTACGTGGGACTCCAGGTCCCCATCTTTAAAAGGAGGAGGATGCCGCCTTCTCTGCCTCACAGATTTGCACAAGAATAAAACGATGTGCAATGCATGAAACCAATTTAAGCAAATGTATGTATTCTTTATTCCCTGGGGATTAAGGTCATTTGATATATTTTCCTTTTTTTTGTAATTTTAAGTGTTTTGGAAAGAAATGCTCTAAACTGTATTATGCACCTCTTTTGACAATAGACAAATGATCTGTCCTTTTTGGTGACTGGGTGTCATTGCCTATTGAGCACAGCATGGAGGACAGATGCCTCCATGTTCTGCAGTGTGAAGATTGTCCTGTCTGCAGAGACATCATCTTCCCCCAGGAGGTTTCCCTGACCTCCTGTGACTGTCAGTCCCTCCCACCCACTTGTGTTGCTTACTTTTCTTTTTTTTTTTTATTGGGTCCTTTTCCATTCCTATTCAGTCCTTTCATTTTCTTTACAGTATTTCTCAGTCTGATTCCAGTTGTGATTTCCATGCCTTTTTTATATGTTTTATGTATGTATTATTATTATAAGGTTTTTAATGTGGAAAGTCAACTTCCCCTTAGTATTTCACATTTTGTCCTTTTTACTCTTAAAGGAGGATTCTCTGGATCACACTTCAGACATGGAAGAAGTTTGTACAATTCAAGAAAGAAGAAAGAGTGAGAGAAGAAAGGCGACAGCAACTCCGTAAGAAGGTAGCTGAAATTCTGCCTGACTTCCAGGTGCCGCCCCACCTTGACCCTTGACTCCTGACCGTGCTGGCACGCGCACAGCCCTCGTGTAGGGGGTCCTTGGTGCGGGGAGCACCAGCCAGCGTGCTTAGGCCAGGAATGTCCATTGGTCCACAGCACATCCATATCACTCCCACCCACACACACACACATCTGGCTGCTTATGTTCTATCAGATACTCCTGGATCACAGGGATTACTTTTGAATTTGCACTTCATTCTTTTATTTCTCTTGGGTTGCTAATCAGTTCACTAAAGCATTTATCACAGCAGGATCATCCGAAGAAACTGTTCCTGTTCCACTGTTCAAATGCATCGTATGTATTTTTAGCATCATAAACTTTACAAAGGACGAGTGTTTGCTTGCCTGAGCTTGTGGGGGAAAATGTGTCCTTACAGTTTAACGTGACTTGTTGACAAATGTAACTTTAATTAAATAGAAATTAAAAGTAGTGAGTACATAGAAAAGGAACCCTACACAGTCAGGCATCTAATACCTTCGTATCAGCAACAGGCATTCTGCCAGACTCCATCCTTTTTGCCCACCCCGATGGAAAACTGTGTATCAAAAGGCACTGTATGCGCTTGCTGCAAGGGTAACAGTGTCTCCTAATTTCAGAGAAATTGGGGCACCAAAAAACTGCTTTTCTGTGTACCTAATAAGCAGCAAGGGAAAGCCAGCAATCTGTTAAAATGTCTGTTCATGCTCCCAATTGCAACTTCTAAATAGTACTTGATCTGGCTTCTAGATCTCAGCTCAGCTTGATCTGTGTGTCAAGATATTTATCTTGAATTCAAAACATGTTTTAATCTCTAAGATGCTAAAGACTGTAAGGACAATCCCTTCTGTGAACTGAATTATCTGCAAGAAAAGTATCTCATTGCAAAACACATTTACTCCAACAATTTCAAGTAGTAGGTAAATGCACACAGTAAAACAAGAACCTCCCTTGCAGCCCTGAGGCAACTATTATTTAGTAAATTGAAATTGAGTTGATAAATTCTTTGTGTTCAGTAAATTGTTCTCGTGTCTTACTTCCTAGAAGGGCTGTCTAGCTATACCACCGGCAAGATGACTTCTATCCTTTTTTCTAGGGAAGATGTGATTTACTCAGACATGACAAAATATCCTATATTGAACTTTATTTCTTCTGCAATATCCCTGTCTGCACACCTTTTCCTTTAGTATGATTATACAGTTGTCATCTGAGAACTCTTTTTAAGACTAACAGCCACTAAAGAAAATGGGACTAAAAGTAACTCTTTAATCTCTTTCCACCTAACCCACTGTTCATACTTAATTGTATGTAGTAGTTAGAGAATATTGGCTATTATTGGCACCCAGAACTCAAATACCAATTTTATTTTAGTACCAAGACTCATAAACTTTAAGTTTTCTCTCAAGTTTTCTTTTAATTCACCGCAAGCATCATTGAGTCTTTAAGCAGGCCACATTCTGATTAAGCCAGTGAGAACTTTTTACCTACTTATAGAACCTTCTAAAGAGACATAAGGAAAAAACTTAGTAAATGACCTCTTTGTTGCTGGGCTATCTTAAAGATACAATTTGAAATGTTACTGCTAACAAAATGCCCAGTAAGCAGTATCTGGCCTGCAAAACTGGAAAAGTCATCACCAGGAAAGTGAGTTTTAGGTGCACAGGCTGGGGCCATCCACTGGGCCAGAGAGAGGACCCAGCTACAATGCAGGCTTTTCTGAAAGCAAAGGCATTCAGGAGACCTACCAAGAAACACCAACTATTTTCGTTGAAGAAAGCACTTTATTTTCCATTTAAATAACTTGGTCACAGTACATTGTTTTACATAAATGGCAGTAATTTTTTTAAATCTCCATTTGAAAGGCCTTGTGTCTGAGTCTGAGGTGATAAGACGTCATGAATACAAGTATAAAAACAGTGCAAAATGTTTAGCCTACAGCTTCTAGAGTTGGCTTCAGAAATCCCCTGCAATGTTGCTGGGCCAGTTACATTAAATATTAAATTTAATGTTAAGTAAACATTCCTGGGTTTCCTTTAGTTGATAATATCAGGCCCAGAAACCTAATCAAACGAAAAGACTCGAAAGCCCTAACAACTCCGACCATCCAATCACCCAGACCACTGGATCGAAGTTGAGCTTCTTGCAAGTTCCTAATATGGCATCTTGTCAGTGACGCCATCTGAAAAAAAATACAGGATTTTAGTTGCATCAACAACTAGAATAGATCTGGTTTTAAAGCTGTGCCTTTAAAGATGAATTTTCTGGAAGTGGAAGGTACCATCAGGAAGCCTAGAGCAGTAATAAGTCACAAGCCCAACCTGGAAATAGCCACAACCTCCAGGAACTCTCTCTTCATTGAGCATTCAGTCTGTGGCCAGCGGCTAATACTACAGTGAAACACTTAGTGCCAGCTGGAGTAGGGAGAACTGTCCATTAGCAACAGGATCAAATTTAGCTGATTTGACAAGTTTATATTAGTTACAGCAAATATGTACGACATACTGAGTTTTATTCAGCATTAAGTTAAGCCCAGCTCTCATTCTCCCTTGCACCACCTTTGCAATGTTTAATACAAAATGGTGCACTTGTCAAGCTGCTGATGAGAAAACCAGATTCCAAACAGGTGCCTCAAGGAAAAGTTTCTCTCATCCACTGCGTATGTGAGGAAACTCTCTTTTAAAATTCAGGGGACCAAAATATGGCTTAAATAAAGTCAAGTCATATAAACCTGCTTACCTAGTTTAGAGAGACCCTTAAATCTGACAAAACATTAATTTTTTTTAAAGATTTACTTATTTATGTTTAGAGGGGAAGGGAGGGAGAAATTATGTTTAGAGGGGAAGGGAGGGAGAAACAAAGGAAGAGACACATCAATGGGTGGTTGCCTCTTGCGCAACCCCTACTAGCCCACAACACAGGCATGTGCCCTGACTGGGAATCGAACCAGCAAACCTCTGGTTCCCAGTTCGGCACTCAATCCACTGAGCCACACCAGCCAGGGCCAAAACATTAATTTTTAAACATCCTTGTTAAAACTGCTTCTATGTCATACTTTTGCTTACATTAGTTGAGTTTTATAATAAAAATCTAATGTCCTACTCAATGGAAATTTGGTATATTAAGCACTTGTGAATATTACAATGAGCCTTGTGTTTTCTGGCAGTGGAAGATTCTAGTATGGAAAGTTTTCTCTTGCTAAAAATATTCAAAGTACCAAGGACTACTGCATAAGAGAAAGTCTGTAGCAGCCTTTCTGCTAGGCAGATGGTACAGTGGAAGACAACCATCACTTCATTCACCAAAAGAAAACGCTGCTTGGATAGCACAGATTCACAGTGTTCTACTCACAGACACACAGGTGGCTGAGGTGACACAAGCAGCACAGTGTCCCTGAAACACACTTACAGCTCGACTTGAGCAGCATCAGAGAAACCCAGCAAAGAGCCGTTGTTATGATCAGCTCAAGTCAGGTGGGCCCAGCTCTAACCACAGAATACTCTTAGGTGTCATAAGAAACATTTTAAACATTGAAGGATTTTCTCCCTTCATGCAATTCTGCTCCTTAACTATTTCTCCACTGCATCTCTCAAATAGACCCATTTCGCTTTCCCAGGAATAGTACACCCGGCAAGACAGCAATGCTGATTAGAATACAGTCGATCATTTACTAAACTCCACACTCAGTGTGTTTAGTAACAGAGGCCAAGTCTATGGGGGGAGAGAAGGGGACCCACTTATTTGGAATTATGTGGGTAGCATGCTCTTAGGGACCACAGACACTGGCATGGAGTTTGCAGGGCAGCTCCCCATGGCCACCGCTAAATGTTTCTCTGGGGCTCACTGGCTCACAGAGGCTTTGTCCTTTAGAGGACATGGTCCCTGCGATGGTTTCAGAGCATAAAAAGCTCAAAAAGTCTAGGAGTGTAGGCCAAGGGTGTCCTAGAGCCTACAGAGCACTTCTCACCGAGAGCTGCTTGTTTGCTCTCCTTTCGGTGCAAATACTTCAGTAGACTTTTACCCCCCAAAAAACCACTGAGATTTTCAAAGGTTTGAGCTTTGTTCTGTAAACTGCCAATCATGACATCCTCAAGGAACTTAAAATAAGCCTCTGACTTCCAATAAGCCAGAATTATATACGAGGAGTCCTTCCTTACCCAAAAGAGGGACACCGAGTCCCTCTTTTATGTGGCTTTAAAGATGATGACATTCCCATTCTCTCAAATGACTGATCTTTCTGGTGGGACTCATCATGTCATATTTTGATTGTTTTTAAAGATTTGACAAGAGGCTAAAATTACTGACTATACTAACGTTTCTATGAATGTTATTATCAATTGTCAGACAAACAGAGTTGGGATATATCTGGTATTCAAGAGACTACAGCTAGAGATTTCTGGCCACATGTTGTCCTTGACATTATTACTGTCTCTCTTCTGGCAAACCCCCACAGGAGGGAGTTAGTTATATCAGATCCAATGTTAATTCCAAATGAATGCGTGACTCTGGGCCAGGGAGAATGCCTCAGTGGAGAAACCACAGACTCAGCTAACACCCCCAGACTTGCTGTTTGGCTCACCCCAGCGGCCTATCATGTGTTAAACCATCTCCGGGGAGAGCACCGACAAGCTGTCTTACGGACAGCTTCCGTTAACGGCAGGACTCGGTGCTAGCTGCACGGGGGAGCGTGGCAGGAAGTAGCACTGCTTCCTCTCAACATTTATAAACCTCTTGTTGCAGCAGTATGCACAGAGAGACTGAAAAACCTGGCAATGTTGCCTCTATATTAAGCTACAAGCCAAGGCAAATTTAAGGACCATGAATTGCTGTTGGGACTGAAAAAAGAAAAAGAAAAAAACTTGACTTGGCATGGTAAACACACAATACAATATACAGATGGTGTGTTATAGAACTGTATGCCTGAAACCTATATAATTTTATTAACCAGTGTCACCCCAATAAATTCAATAAAAAAGATAAAAGTACAAAACCAAGAGGGGTTCCCCCCATCTGAAATTGCCTCATCTTAATTCTATGGCAGAATAGATCCATTATATGTAAATATTTAATTATTTATAAACTTTCAGTTTTGAGATATGATTAAAGAAACAACTTGGTATTTTAGGAAGAACTAGGGAAGAACAGCAATCCATTAATTCCTGGAAACCACACACATGACCCTGTTTTTTCTCTCCTGGTGAGATACTTTTATCCAGGGAAAGGTGAATGAAAAGTCATGTGCAAGGTAAGAGGGAAGATGTCAACCAACCCCTCAAATTGGGTCCATGCCAGAATAATGTGAATACTAGACGTGGATTATTGCAACTCAGCACTATAGCTGACAGTGTCTGAATCACTTACATGAATCAAAATCATCACGCCCTTGACAGTAGCCAGCCACCCCCTACCCAGGAAAGAGAGTGGTGTTCCCTGTAGGGGTGTCTGTTTTCCTCTTCCAGTCGTCGTCACGCGTGTGGCTACCACCTTATCAGGTGAGACATGGAAAGAGGCAAAAACATTAATGCCTACTGGAGTTATTGAGACTAAATCTAAACAACAATGCTTAAGAAGAAAACAAAAACTCATCACCTAAACTCATGACCACTGTACATTATACCAGCAATAATTATAACTGGCATGAACTCCGCTTTCGAGATTAGGCGACAGTGTAAATCCATCTGGTCATCTCCTACCCTGTTTGAGTAGTTAATGTCTAAGGCTTCCAAAAGAGAAATTCCTGTAACTGTACAACATGATATTCGGGGATCTTTTTTTTACTCTGAAATGCTGAAAAGCATTTAATAACATTGACTTAAATATTCTGACCTACAAACTATTTTTTTTTCAGTCTTGGGATTTTCCTAATAATGCTTCATACCTCTGTGGGGCTTTCACTATTTCTCAGTGCTTTCCACATACCTCATCCCTCCCATGCCCCTCATGACCGCTGTGAGGCCGCCAGGGTGGGCACCGGCACCCCACCCAACACATGAACCTGAGATTCGGGGAAGTGACTCAACTAAGGGTCACATGGCTATTAAGAATTAAAAGAGGGACTAGAAACTATCCTAATCCAAAACTCTTTCTCCTATACTAAGGGATGGGAATTGCTTGTCAGTTTGTGCGTTAGTAATCCACATCCATTTCGACTTCTTGTGACTGAGCTCTTAACAAGGTGGCTGGAAAGGCACGGCTCTACTTGTACTGCTTCAACATAAAAATCTCTTTTATGTTGTAAAGTCAGAAAAGTTCATTTCTCCAGTCCAGTCTCTAAACCTGAGCGTGGCCCTACGATGCCTTTAAGAGACGAGGGATAAAAACAACACCCTGCGTGGACAGTGAAGTGCACAACTGAAGGACACAGAGGGAGCCGCCCAAAAGGCACTTCAGACGATGTCCTCAGCGGGGTCGTGCAACGGACGAGCGCCCAGGGTGGAGAACTGGTGCCAGTTCCGCAGGAAGCCCCGATTGTACTGGCCTGTGTCCACGATGAGCCCACACAGGAGCCGGCGCCCCGTCTTCTGTCGAAGGGCCTGCTGCACTTCCCTCTCAGTCACGTTGTAACTGATGTTTATCAGCTGGATCAGGAAGATGTAGGCCATGCCCACTGTGACGATCA